CCCATGAGAGTTCCATGGAATTTCCATGGAATTTGTGCTTTCGAGTTGTTTGTGCTGAAACGCATTTTCTCGTATAATACCCCGTACACTTTGAAATGGCGATGCCACAATTTACCCCGCAGCAAAGAGCTTTTATGGTATCAGAGTTCCTCCGTAGCAACAACATAAACTTGATTCGCCAAAGTTTCGCGAAATAATATCCAGATGTACGATGCCCTTCACGTGCGAATACGTGTAGGGCATCGTACATCTGGATATTCGTTCGTGAAACTTTGGCGAACCAAGTTTATGTTGTTGCTACGGAGGAACTCTGATACCATGCATAAAAGCTCTCTGCTGCCGGGTAAATTGTGGCATCGCCATTTCAAAGTGTACGGGGTATTATACGAGAGAATGCGTTTCAGCACAAACAACTCGAAAGCACAATTTCCATGGAAATTCCACGGAACTCTCTTGGGAGTAAAAATGAATTCATAATGAAGCAAGAACAGCACCAACAGAGAAAAATGTAACGTTTTCATAGGCTTTTCGGAGGATTTGTACTCGGCAGAATCCTGCCGAAATTTTATCATAAATGCAACAAATAACGAACTTTTCATACATGAACTCAAATAAAGAATACCGTTGGTTATTTCCGTGCGCAAGCCACTTTTAGGAGAGCAAAAGTTGACCACCCCCCTGGATAGCAACATTTACTATTTTCAAATTTTTTTATATTTTCTATGAATTAAGAAATCAAGCAATCCATACATATAAAAAATTACATTTCATGAACAGAATTGTGGAATTGAGAGCAATTTCAAAATTATCTTACTTTTTTTGATACACCCTGTATATTAACCAGCATCAACCATGTATAAAGTGAACTTTAGTAAATTGAAGTTAAAACACAGCTAGCATGGACGTCTAAGTCGTTAAGACTTCTGTCTTTGGGCCGCTGGTTGTCAAGATTTCTGTCTTTCGGCAATCAGTTCATTAGCTATTCTGTGTAAAATATATTTCAATTACATACACTTATAAATTTTAACCAGCATCGATAATGTATAGAGTATACTTTAGTAAATTGAAGTTAAAAACAGCTAGCATGGACTTCTAAGACGTTAAGACTTCTGTCTTTGGGCGGCTGATTGTCAAGATTTTTGTCTTTCGGCAATCAGTTCATTAGCTATTCTGTGTAAAATATATTTCAATTACATACACTTATAACTTTTAACCAGCATCGATAATGTATAGAGTATACTTTAGTAAATTGAAGTTAAAACACAGCTAGCATGGACTTCTAAGTCGTTAAGACTTCTGTCTTTGGGCGGCTGGTTGTCAAGATTTCTGTCTTTCGGCAATCAGTTCATTAGCTATTCTGTGTAAAATACACTTTAATTACATACACTTATAAATATTAACCGGCATCAGGTATAAGGTGAAATTCAAAGACAAATATTATCCTTCAATATAGTAGCTACATTGAAGTTAAAACACAGTTAGCATGGACTTCTAATTAGTTGTTAAGACTAAACTGTCTTAGGGAAGCTGGTTCGATCCCAAGATTTCTGTCTTTCGGCATTGAGTTCAAGGTATTTTGTACAAAATATTACTTATAATTACATATTAGGGTTGAGGTATATTATATATATGTGCAAATATTCTTGATAAAATAATACATTTGAATTAAAACACGGCTAGCATGCACTTCTAAGCGGCTGAGATTTTAGTCTTTGGACAACTGATTGTTAGGAAGTTTACACTTCAGCAACCAAGATGCTGCATACAACATAAATATGCCGGAATGCTTAGATAACTGACATATGATAATAATTTGATTATATAAAATACATATTAGATATGACACTTATGAGACAAATTGATGTTAGATAACAATGCCTAGATATAGTGATTTCAAAAAGCCATAAATTAAGCATGAATGTATATAGTATAATTTTATTCATATGGCAAAAATTCCAACCTTAAACTATATGATTTAGAACTTCCTAAGATGACTAGATGCTTCTAATAAAATTATACCATATACCAGTATTGTCAGTAATTTAGCAGTTTATCATGTATCACAATGTCTATATAATGTATATAAAAAATTCCAAAATAAAATTTAGAAAACCGGCGTTGAGGCAACCATAAAAGCGTTGTCCTCATGCTCCTCTGTTGTTTTGTGTATATATTTACTTCCAAGTGGAAAATGCCCATAAACCTAATAATACATTTGTGCAAAACAGCTAAATGTTAAAAATTGCTTTGCATTTTATAAAAAATGAGCACCAAATCAAAATCTCGGTACAGCCAAGGAAATTACAATGGGTATCAAGATTTATGTTTTTCGGCAATCGGTTCAAAATATTCTGTGTAATAGAATACCCAAGATACCTAATATTTGGGTTGAGGCCAGCACATGATTTGTATGTGCAAAGCTAGTTTTTAGACAAGTGATTGTTAGGAATTTTATGCTTCAATTAGCAACCAAGCCACTGCATTTCACAAGATTCAGAAAAGCTTGATACTTATACAGTAACGGCCGTCGTTTTTAATATAAATTGCTTTGAATTTTCTTCAAAGTGTAAAATCGAAATCTCCATCCAGCAAAGGAAATAATAAATGACCTCAAAACTGGCAAACATTGCTTATGAGTTTTTTCTGATGACATCTTCATGCAACAACAGGAATTTTTCAGGTTTTGCAACCGAATGGTTCATAACAATATATTAAGGTAAGTGCTATAAAAAGATGGGGCAAACCAATAACTTCTCTTTTTTGTTATAGCTGATTAACTGTGTTCTCATTAATTTTATAATAATGAGTCACGAGAGCACTAACAAGCTAAAATTCAAGTAAATTTGCAAGAAAAATAAGGCATTTAGGGTTTAATAAAAGAGATCAGTGACTATAACTTGCATTCAATTCTGGCTTGTAAGGTGCCAAAGATTCAAGCTGGTTTATTGCAGTTTGCTGGGACATATGCAT